CTTCGCAGGACAATTCAATCCTTATGGATGGTGGTATAACCTCCTTCAATACTAGGCGTTAAACCTTTGAAATAAATAATACAAAGATACAAAAATAAAATAGAAATAAAAAAACATTACATCAAGCTGGGTGTATTTGTGGCTCCTGGTACGTCGGGGCAGTTACAGTGGGCCGCGAGCCAGCTGACAAGATTCAGCCAAGAGACTAGACCAATGCATGAAACTCCGCTTAGTCAGCGTCTGGTTATGAGACGCACAAATTCACTAGTCTCGTGACCAGACTTACAAATTCGCAATGATTGCAGGCATCGTCCTTGGCAGTTTACACTCACCGAGACGCAGTGGCACCGCCAGCAGCGCCCAAGCCACCCTTCTCATCCCCACGACGCTATACTCGCCAATCGAGACAGTCATTGAAGCAACAAATATAGAAAAGGTGCACAGGGATGCGTATTGTATTGTTCACACTTATCTCTTGTATTCAACGTACAGTATATGCTCCTAACACCCACATATTTATAGACATGAGCTGCTAGCATATTAGTGCGGGTATAAGGTTGCTCATCATTACAGCACGTATCCACAACTAGATCATCACATGGAATTACCTCATACCATGATCTCAACTCATGTGCTATCCACGTTCTAGTGGTTCCTTCACACATGACAGCCTCACATGATGTGTCCCGTGATGCTCGTTGCATAATCTTCAACAGTCATAAACAACGCAACAATTCAACTATTCTAGATGTGTGGTTGCCGCGGCCGGCAAGAGACGGGGAGGCGGAGGGAGGAGGGGGTCGGCCCCGCCCCCTCCCGCTGTGATCTGAGTACAGAACTGGCTGGCAGCGGCGAGCAGACTTTGTACCACAAATCTACTCACATGTCACCACACGTTCCTAATACAACGATTTAAGAAACCCTGGGCACCCACTTGTACGTAGCTCCCGTTTCTCCTTTTTGTCCCTCTCACCGCTAAATAGCTCTTTCACAACATTCACACCCTGCACTCTCACTTCCGCCAAGAAGCGCTCCTTTGATCGGGGGTCTGCATTGCGACTTTCATTGGATTATGCCCTCCCAGACCTAGGTTCGAGCAAAAACATGAAGATGGCGCATGCCGCGAGGAAGGGTGCGGAACAAGGGAGATGCGGCTGTGAGACTGGTAAGTACTTAACCTGGATTGATGTTGAAACTTTTGTTTTTATTTGGTTTGTGTTTGGCGTGGGCGACTATACCATCCTCCATGCAATGCGAAGAAGCTAACGTAGACATTTTTTCCTTAGCGCAAATCCCCCCCACCACACACGCCTCCTCAACTCCCAATGTCAAACCCACTCTCTGGTGCACAAACTGACCACCACAAAACCCCTTAGGATATCCAATGACCCAGAGACCTGTCACCGTTCGTGGCTGTGCAATCCCTATCAGTCGCGTTCCACTGCCGGTTATTGCTTACCATGCCCGTGAGATGGATTCAACGCTGACCCTGCGTCAAGATTAAATGGAATATGATCAATGGCGATCGACATAGATGACGAACCTCAGCCTGAGCCTAAATGAGCATTGCTGGTCCTCAATGCGCGCCGGATATCGCCAGTCAGAGCTAAACCCGCGCGAATATTCAATCAGCCAATGGATTTTTTCATTCTTGGCAAGACAAATCTGGGGAGGCGGACATACTGCGGACTACTACCACATCAACAACCACAACGACGCAGGTGGGTATGAATCAGCTAGCGGAAATCCAGTCCTGGGTCGAATCAGAAACGTTTCTGCAGCGCCTCCGGAGTACGCCTTCTTCTACTCCAAACAATGCAGCGGGCCTTTGCGGTCTTCGAGAGCTAAGGAGCACCACTAATGCAAAGAGCTGCTCCTCCCCGCGCCGTGCACCTCGCGGTATCAACACCAACAGCTCTCACATACAATACTGGAAAGCAGACGAAAGGACATATTTACGAGTTTGGATTGTTTGCCAAGCAGCTAGAGAAATACCGCACCTCTGATACCCTGCCGCACGCAGTGAGCTGCAGCTCCTGATACTCCTAGTCCGCTTGCAAAGATAAGGAATTCCAGTACTCCAACGGCGCAGCAACCCAGCGACGCGTTCGCGTTCTTTGGTAATCGGGAACCAAGGTCTGGTACCATAGCAAACCTTGTCCAGTAAGCTATTTCTGGGGTACCTCCATCTCGAGCAGCATCCACACCAGCACACGCCACCGCCAGGACCACCACCGGTCCAAGCGCCTTCTCTCCCACTCCACGGTCCACTTGCCGTATTCCGCGAACATACAATCCACTATCAGAGAACCCAATCGGCATCGACCTGGCCGATGTTGGTGTTCACATGGGTGTGGCTTACAGCGCTGTCGTGCAGGTGTGTAGGGCACAGCTGCGGAATGGACTCCACTTCCGATGTCTCTAGGAGCGCCGACAATCGCCGCTGTTTAGCAAGGAGCAAGATTCAGACGTACTGTGGTCCCGCTGTTCTGCAAAGATGCGGGGCAGAGAGCTGGCTATAATGCTCTTCCTCCTTCGCCTCTGGAAATGTCTGGTTACGCTCCTTTTATGACGACATGCAAGAACCAAAACCAGCAGCAGCAAAGCCAATGCCAGCACCAAGGTCAGCGACAGCAGTACCAGTAGCTCAGATGCTATCCCCCGCCGCCGATTCTGAGCCAGCATCACACCTAGTCGCTGCTAACCCAGAAGTCCTCGGTGCACAAAAACCCCTTGGATCCTCCTCCTGCTCCTCCAGCTCGTCCTTTGCTTCAAATGAGTGACTCAAGCGAATCATCCACCGACCAGAGAATACCAATAGCAGTCCCACTAACACTTCTATTTCTCCGTCATGCTCTGATTCTGCTGCCGCTGCTACTGTTGCAACTGCTTCTGCCACCGTACCTTCCGCCCCCTCGCTTTCTCGCGCTCCCCCCCGCGACAGGGTTCCGCAGCCTCTCGTCCCTCACCATCAGCAGCACCAGCCATGGACAAAGGGAATGCCAAGGCCATCCCTGCCAGTCACCCTGCTTCCCACCCCCACCCGCACCACCGGCACAATCCCCGCAAATGCCTGCAACCATCAAAACACAAGTACAAAGTCGAAAGCGTCCCCTCCAAAGGGGTCATCCTGAAACGGGCGCGTGGCGGATTGAGCACATAAATGTTGTTCGGGAATAACAGAGTTGCGTCCCACCAGGCACAATTTCGGAAGGCAGAAAGGTAAATCTTATAATTTGTTCTCCCCTAAAAATGACATCATTTCTAACGAGGTGGAAAACTCCAGAGTGTCGAGTGATGTGTTGTTCTAAGGGAAGAGATCGGGGTGGATTCGGAGGTATACGGGATACCAGCTGCTAGAACATCCCGCACGCACACGCCCATACAGGCTGTTGCCCCGATGAAACCTGACATCGGACGGGCCTGTATACAATTCAACCTTTTATTTTGGGTCACGGCAGGACAGGGCGGTTCTATCCAATAAGACAAAATGCCCAATAATAGCCATCGTCCCAATTCGCTCCGGCCGGCAAAGCTGATCCAATAAGATAGGTTATCCAATATGATAGGATCCCATATACGAGGTTCGACTGTGAAAATGTGGGGACGTTCCAATCACCGGACATGCTTAACGCAGGACGGACCTGCAAAAAAAACGTGCTGCACTGAGAATTGATGAGGAAGGGGTTCTTGACATCCTAAGAATCAGGAGGAACAGAATTCCGGAGGCTGAGAAACTGGGATATGGAGGCGTGAAGGATAGGATTGAGGTGATTACTAGGGGACGGGAAAAGGAGTTACTGAAAGGTACCTTGTGAGGCGGGGGTAAGAATACTTTGAATTATGCGATGTGCGGAGGGAAAGGGGTGGATGTGGAGGTATGCTGACCTACTGCAGAACACGGAAACGTAGATGACTCGATTGGAGATGAGCACGAGGACGTGGAGGTTCTATGATACGCCATCGGGGTGGTGGGGAGAATCATAGGGATAGCAAGACGGAAAAAAACGCAGGTAAGGGCTAAGCCGCGTTACGGGTCATCCGAGAAGGTACTGTGCCCTTATTTTCTCACTATTGATGGTTACGCTAACTGTAGCCAGAATAGAACTACTCCTAAGGAAGCCTAATGCAGGACGGACCTGCGTAAAAACGTGGGGCAGAGTAAAATGGGAGTTACATTTACAAGGTGTGTTTGGGGAATAGCAGGGATGAAGGTGCCTTGAATGTCGGGATAGAATGATGGAAGCAAGATATGTATGTTCTAATGATTGGGAACGTTATTAGCGGGTTAACGAAGAGGGCTTAGGGTACAGAATCCTGCAACCAGAGTTGCAAATCAACATCAGCCCCCACTTCGTTTTACTGGCATTTTGAGTGGCACCGAGCGACTATGGCGGCCGTTGGAAGGCTGCGGTCGGACATATGGCCACGTTGGATCGTGACTGCTTCAAAGCTGAGTCGATTTGGTGTATGAGAGAGGATAACCTACCGGTAGATAGTTGACTTGGAACAGTGGATCAGTGCTGAGGAAGTAGTTACTATGAACATTCTGCACGGACAAGGTCAGGGTGACGGGTAGAGAAACGTGTGACATATGCAAAGGGGGAACAAAGGGAGGAAATGCTGAAAGGAAGAGAGATGAGGGTAAACGAGGGAACAGACAGGATAGAAGGAGAATGCCTCTTGCCGGGTTGGCAATGCCATGTATGCATCAATGACGATGGCGGAGCCTGGAATGCATCAATAACGATAGCGGAGCCTGGAATGCATTCAGCAGCGGATAAGGGAGGGAGGGAGGGGGGGGGGTTGAGGAGGAAGCAGTGGCGCAAGCTGTTTCCGAGACCGCTACCAATTCCGTCAACTTTCCCTCCCGAAAAAAAAAATAAAAAACAGAAGTAAGGAGAGTCTAAACCTTCTTCCCATCACGCACCTAATTTAGACTTTTACCTTTCCAACTTTTTTTCAAATATATTTTTGGCTAGTGCAAGACATCAACGAAGGGTCGGTTGGCGTAGTGGTCAACGCGCCCACACTCTTGTTTGATGAGGAAGCTTTGCACGGAACGGCAAAACCTTCCTCAACTAATTCAGGCATAGAGTGGGGAGATCGGGTGTTCGAGTCACTCACCGACCTGTGGTTTTTTTTTTTCAATATTTTTGTGGATGAAGTGGTGGATCCTTCGTCAATACTTGATGTGTATATTATATTATATATACATATTTGAACCTCATACATTTTTTTTTTTTTTTTTTTTTTTCCAACTGTAGGTAGTGCTTATGAGGCGGTTTTGGATGGCGGGAATTGGAGTGGAGAGGTTTTCTGATGTTTAGATGCGGAATTGAAAATGGAATCTATCCACATGATGGGTGCCACATGTTCTCGGTCGTCTGGGTAAATTTCAGCTAAAACCCGCGAGGTCATTGCTTTCTGGCAAATGATATCTAGGTATATATTCGCCATTTACAATGCAATGACCATGCTTATGTTGCCTTGCCATGGCGACCAGCTGCGTGCGGGGTCATGTGATATAAAAAATAAATAAAAAAAACCATGCTTATGTTATAGCATGTCGACGCATGGAGAGTCTGCAATGTCGTTAGTGCATTCAGGAACTTGATTGTCTTTTACTTCTTCTTTGTTTTTCTTAATTTGGTTCTCCGGTTCTATTGTAACCGATCTTATTAATCACCCTCTATATTGGCTGGTTACGAGACTACCTCTATATATGTATCTTTTAATCCTTCCTTGTCGGGTGATCCCCATCATCCCCACCATTCGGCGCTCTCGTACTCAAATCATTTTCCCAGCATGCTTTTCGTTTATGTAATGAACAACTCTATTCCTCGGCTACAGGATGTTAGTTTGGCGTGAAACTATGTTAGTTGGGGGACCTTAGTGTCGTGAACAAGAGCTACCTGCCAAAATGCCAACTTTATTTACTTTACCTCTCATGTATATATTGTTCCTGTTTCGCTAACTTTGCTGCTGTGTTTTTATGTATCTGTGTATTTCTCCTGTTTTTTTTTTCATGTACTATATCAGTTGTTCTTAATTTCTCTTTGCTACGTTTATTTGTATCGTTGCGTTTGGTTTGCGAGTGCATTGTGATTAGGCCATTACTATGACCTGGACAACCATCTCTGATGGCAAAACGTGGGATGGAAGGTTAGGAGGAGGGGGAGTTAAGCGGCATATACACTAGATGCGGCTGCTTACAAAAAACGGGTCACTGGCGGAATACATTGGATAGGTAAACCTGCGGGAGTTGGAGAGTTGGGGATGTGCAGCAAGAACACTAGAGGGGGGAAGTCGAGGGCGCAGAGGCCCTTACCACGCCTAGAGAAGCGTTGGGGAGAGGGACAGTAAGGGAATATGTAACAGTGGGTAATCGGGAAAGTCTGCAACAGGATCTATAGCAAGGGAGACAAATATGGGAGGGGCAGAGCACACGATGGCTGGGAATCAATGCTTAGCTGTGCTTTGTCAACTCTCCTCTGCAAAGCTGCACACGAGCGCTCGTGCACTGCATATAATGACTAAGAGAATATACACAATGCCAACTCCAGCATGCATCGGCCTTGGCGCCCCTGGCTGCTCCTTCCCTTCTCACGCTCCCCTACGCACAATTACTTGTTCTACACAGATTCCATCAGCCTTGGCACTTTTCCCGGTTTATGCCCGCGCACATAAACCCTCAGCATTTCCCACAAGACGCCCCTCTCCTCCCCATCTACATCTTCCATCACATCGACAGCCTACGTTCTTCAACTACAATCCTTGACCACAACTGCAGACCCACATCGTCAACATAACAGATCACGCAAGGTAGGAATTCCGTCTCCTAGATTGGATTATGTCTTTGATCGATTTGCTGCGGACAGGAAGAAGGGGGAGGGGGCAGATGGAGTCGACACTGTCTGCGCTGGGCGTGATGTTGAAGGCCGACAGAGAGGGGACAGCGTACAGAAGCCAGACTTGCTAACACTGAGCAGACTTTTACCCATCTCCACAAACACCACAAACTACCAAGTACCAACATTCATCGTACAAAACGTACAACAGTACCTACACACCCTACTTCCACAAACTCAATTGTAAGCTCTCCCCCTTTTTTTTTTTTTTTTTTTTTTTTTAAATCACATAACCCCGCTTGCAGCGCCAAGCCATGGCAGGGTCCCTGGGCAAGCCCTCGAAGCCTGGAGACAGGCTTAACAAACAAAGAAATTTCTATCTACTTCTACAACCTGATTCCAGAAACCTCCGGGTTTCTGCCTCAGGGAGGCTCCACTATATATCTCCCCCTCTCCCCCTCTCCCCCTCCCCTCTTCTCCACACTTTCGCATCCCGGCAAGCAAACTTCCCCGACGGCAAATCGCACGGCGCCCTAGAATATGATCCCGGAGAAGAACCTTTCCAACTCAAAGCTCTCCCCTTCAATTCCTCCGTTCCTGCACTTTCCGTCTCTCCTCTCCTCTTAAAACTGACCTCCCGTCTCGCGCAGCCCACCGTTACACCACAATGTATTTCCGCGCTCGCACCCTCACCTCCACGGCCCTTCGCTCTTCGAAGAAACTCATGGCCACCCGTATCCTGCGCGGGGCTTCCATCCCACGCGACCCCCGCTGCTCCCAGATCAAGACCCTACTTGTCATGGGCGCACAAAGCGAGTTTGAGCACAGGATGAGGAAGACTACTGCCGTCGAGTATAACTTTCGTGGCACCAACTCCCAGCGTCAGGCCGGCGGGAAAGAAAACCAAAAGATGACACCGAGGAAGGTGTGCAAGCTGACAGAAGCAGTTGTGAGTACTGACCTTGCATTGCACAAGTCATGTGTAACGTTGCTTTTCTTTGGGCGACTATACCATACAAACGGCACCGTGCATATGTTTTTCCTTTTTCTTGATTTGATTTACGTTTAGCTCCAGCGCCTTGCATACTTAGTGCATTACACAGGTATGTACTTAACATACCCGCTAACTCTTTCCTCTTACAGAAAAAATCCTCCTCCCGCGCCGCACGCCTCATTACCCTGAAACCGCACTCCCCCTTCCTGAAACCCAAATCCAAAAATCCCCTTCAGAGATCATATCACCAGACACCCCTCGTCACCATGCACGGCTCTCCCGACCTTGCAATCCCTGCCTCGCCAACTCGTCCTTTCCGATTAGTTTCATTCCCGACGATGGATTACGACGTCGAGATGGAAGTTGATCTCGATGACTATCACGCAGTGGAATTTGAAGATTCCATGGACATTGATATTGACGAATCTCAGCCCACCATCCACCTTCAATGCGAGATGGAAGCAGAATCCGAACCTGAACCTGAATTTCCTCCTCTCTATGCGCGCCGCACAGGAGGTGCGAAAGTTGCGTCAAACAGGTCTAAGCACGCCCCTGCGAAAGTCGAGCCAGGCAATGGATTTGCGTTCTTTGCAAACAAAATCAACAGTGCTCCTGCACAGGTCAACTCGACTCCACGTGCTGCGGTACCTTCTGCCGAGCAAAGCACTATTACAACTACCCCAAAAACAAAGCCGCCGCATGGATTTGGGTTCGTTGCCCAACAGGTATCGAAGGAGCGTAGCCCCGATAATAGATCAAAGCACGCAGCTCCAGCTCCAGTTGCAGCGGTGCCAGTACCAACGACCTCTAACCCGGTGGTTAATGCATCACTTCCTGCACGTGCATCCCCCTCCGGGGAAAGCAATACCACCACCTTTCCTACACCAAAGACGCAGGCGCCTACTGATGGGTTCGCGTTCTTTGCTAACCAGCTGCCGAAGGAGCACCAGTCTGACGCACGATCAACTCACCCACAACCAAGTGCAGCTCCTCCGGCACCTACATCTTCCTGCCAGCAAAGCAATCCTATTCCTTCGACTACCCCAAAGGCCCAGCCGCCTGTTGATGCCTTTGCGTTCTTTGCCAACCAACTAGCAAAGGGGCCAAAGTCCGATACTACCTCGAATGCCGCAAATTCAGCTGCAAACGCATCTGCACCAACACCCAACACATACGCTAGTGGAAAGATGCAAGCACCTGCTGCTGGGTTCGCATTCTTTACAAATCAGCTGGCAAAGCAGAAATCCATCGCCAGTTTGGATCAGACCCATCCGGCTGCAGCTGCTGCTCCATGTATTCCTTGTCCCGAGCAGTCTCCTCCTACTACCTCTTCTACGACTCCAAAACCACTGCGGCCTGCGAATGCCTTTGCATTCTTCGGGAAACAGCTTGCAAAGCAATCTGGTTCCATCGCAAGCACAAACCTTACCCAGTCAACTGTTTCTACTATGTGCACTCCAGCACCTGCTCCGCGACTTATCACGACTACCTCCGTGACCACCACCCCACTGACCTCCCCCCCCGCCATTCTCAAAACCCATGGGGCCATTGCTCTCTTCTCCACATCCGTCATTCCGCTACGAAAGACTGCCACTGACACCGAAATGCAAGTAGTGGACGTGGATGGCAATGTCGAGATGGATGTCGCTAGTGCGGCCGTCGCAGAGGTGTATCAAGCTTCGCAGGGGACAGCTGAGTTGCCGACTGCACTTCCGACGCCCCCGACGACTCCAATCATCGCCGCCATTCCTACCATCGCCCCCTCCCCGACCGTTGCGGCCCTTCCGACCGTCGCGGCTGCTTCTACCGTAGCCCAGACCAACGAACGAACAAGCCTGAGAAGTGCTGTAGCTCCGCTGGTGAGCAAGCATACTTTTCCCAAGGCCCTTTATCCTGCATCTTCTGCTCCAACTCCTGTGGCAAGTTCTACTCGGGTTGCTGCCTTAGAACTAGCACCGGTGTCGCGTCAGCCAACTCCGAGATCATACGGCACCAAACCACCTCCGGCTGCACCAGCTTCTAAAGCTCGCCAACCTATCGTACCCCCAAACGCCGAGGTGAAGGCTGAGCTGGCTTCACCAGAAGCGCCGTCGACGTCCCCGGAGCCAGCTGTGGCGCCAGCAGTCGCAGCTGCACAAACGCCCTGTGCGTCCTTTTCGAGCTCCTGTGCCATTACCTCCACCCTATCACAATCGGTGCACCGTCCAGGTACAATTACCACAACTGGTAGCGCTGCTGCTGCCGCCGCTGGTAGTGGTGGTGCTGTTGCTACTGCTAATGTTACTGCT